AGTTCTGAGGGACCCATAAATCTCCACGTTTCACACGATTCTCAATCGTTTGAATATATATTTGCGAGACAATTTTTCCCCAATTTGTTTAATCATTTTTGAAATTGTTAACAAAAAAGATATCGATTAAAAAAAAAAGTTCCGAGGGACCCATAAATCTCCACGTTTCACACGATTCTCAATCATTTGAATATATATTTGCGAGACAATTTTTTTCCAATTTGTTGAACAATTTTTCGAATTTACAGAAGTGAATTCATTTTTCTCATTCCGTCCATCGATTGTTTCTCCATCATACCCCCACTCCGCTCTATATGGGATGTTTTCTTTCGTCACGATTTCCTGGAATTAATCGACACTCTCGCGTTTGCTGGTCTTTCCGAATTCTCGACACGCTCGGGCTCGCGCTCTGCTTTATCTATACCCACGCCCTCCGAAAATTACCGACACTCTTGCCCTCGCGACCTGTTTGATTCACAGGTACACCCGCAAAATTAGTTCCGCCAGTTCCGCTAGGAAATTTCGCGGTTGAAGGTTCGCCATTGGCGTTAGCAATCTCCCCTATAATCTCTGATTCATCTTGGTGAAATCTAGTCTCTTTGAACGTAATTTACAAGTTCATTCCTCAATTCCCCACCCCTGAGACCTAATTACCCGCCCGGCAAAAATAATTATCTGTCGATTGACCCTACCATTATATTTTTTGAGGGCTTACAGGGGCTGGCATTTAATTACCCGTAAAACGCGTTGTTTCTAGGGAATTTCCTAGGGACATGTCGGGCAAAAATAGTCGAGTTTTCGTTCTTCATATCTGTATTATCCAGTGAGAGTTACAGACAACTTCTTATCGACAGGAGATTAAATTAAATGATACATATATAGTTAATACAACATGATTATCAATTAAATAAATTCCGTATTATTTCATTTTGATTTATAAAGGGAAAATTCCTGTCGAGTCATAGCATCGGATGTTGTTCGGTAAAACTCATCGCCCTACTGAATTTTACACATTAAATAGCACAAATCTCCTTCTTTCATTAAAAATATTGGTAAATGTCTAGTTCCGGTCCACCAAACCATTCTGGATATTTTTTATTTGGTGGAAGGGTTTCCGTCGCCGCATTAAGGATCTGGTCACCTTCTTATCGGGAAACAATTAGTGTGGGAGATATGACATTTTATACACCGCTCTCTGCGTTATCCGGGGCCACGGCGAGGACGTGGCGGTGTGTTGGCCCCAAAGACACCACATGTTAGCACATTTAAAGATAATGGACGGATAGAACGATGGATTAATCTAATAGCCTTGAGCACTTTAATAAAACTCCGAATTTACCTCACTCGACCATTTACCATCGCTGAACGAACACCACGAGTGACTTATCCGCCGCGCTACCCTTCTGTAGCTATTTAAATTATTGAATTTAATATCACTCACTCGTGGAGTCGTGAAAAAAAGGGGGGTTTAAGAAATTACAGGGACAACAGAGTTTACCGCAGGACTATTCATCGATGTATTTCCCTCCTTGCTGTTTCTCTCTTTTCTTTCGTTATTGTTTTTGACGACTTAGAGGATAGGAATGGTGTTCATTTGATGAAATTAATATTTCAATGATGTTTGTTTTTTTGTGGACCTAAACTATACATTTACCAAAATATTAATTATTAACATGAGAACTAATCGTTGATCAAGAAATTCCACACATAATATAAAATATTTCTACCTGAAATAATAAATTAATACACACAATATATATGAGATTTGTATTTGGTATAATTATTTTAAATAATTATACAAGTACGTTCTTTAGTTTTACAGCCAATCATAAAGAATTCCAAGCAATTCCGTGCCAGGTTTTCATATCAGTATTTAATCGGAAGATTTGTTTATTTTGGTATTTTTATTTTTATATTTATGTATTCTGAGGTTTATTTTGCGAAATACAATCACTTGCCGGCTAGCTATAAACGAATGGTGCACCGATTGCAATGGACGATTACAACGCAGGAACCATAGCAGTTGTCACGTGGGGTGGGAAGCGAATGAGAATTATTAATTTGTTATTTAATCTATTAATCAGGAATGTACAAACGCAGAAAATATGTAATTAATAATGTACAAACAATTTCCGATCGAATTGAGTGTTTATTTAACCCATTGAGCAATTTTTCATTTTATTCCGGCCAGCATCATGGCAAAAATGGAATAATTATTTACAGTCAATGAATCAATGTACAAACACAAAAAGAAGTAGTACAATCATCTACTAACGATGTACAATCGAATACATAAGATCGTTTTCCTAATTATTGCATCCTTTCGGCTAAGTAAACGGGGGTGAATCATTGTACACTTTCGTGACGTTACATTCGTGGCGCTCCTACCGCACTGGATTTTCCATGGTATGCTCCTCCTTCATATTCTTTATTGAATGGCGGTGTCCGGTCATTCTTTATTCCCGGTTGTATTTACGTTTGCTCTGAATAAGCAATCCAATCGATTGTCGTTATTAGTCAATGATATCTATGAAATATCGGCACTAATTTTCGGTAGATAAGTTGGAATTCTTGTAATCATGGAAGTGACACGTGAAAGTACGTAAAAGAGATGGTTTATTTTGTGGAAATAAAGTATTTTTAAGGTTTTATATTTTTGTGGGCATGCAAACACATGAAACAATTAATCATTTGAGCTACTTTCAAGATTTCCAAGACGTGCTACAAGAGCTTGATGATGTTCTTGCCAAATCTACGTTCTTGGGAATCGATGGGGAATTCACTGGACTGAATTCTGGACCAGAGGCTAAGGTTTTCGATACACCTGCTCAATACTACTTAAAGCTTAAGTCTGGCTCTATGGATTTTCTATTAGTGCAGTTTGGACTCTCTGTTTTCACTCATGATACTGTAACGAACAAGTGAGGATTATTTTTGATAATTTATATGCTGCATTTCAGTTACTGATGGAACAATAATTAATCATTAAATTATATTGTTAATGAACGGTTTTACCAGATGTAATTAGAAGATTATTCGTGGAAAGAATGTCTTGTGCTGTGGGAAATGCTGTTTAATGCTTTGGTGGAAAATTAGCTGCTCTAGAGTTAAATTCATAACTCGTCCCAAATTTACACGAATTGTCCTATAAACTATCAAATATTTTTGGTAATGAGAAGTTCTAGAAGGACTCCTGAAGATACAGGTCCTTGGACTCTTCATTCTGAGGCTGCCTGCTACGAAACTCAATGGGTAATTCCATGTTTCATTTTACTCAAGTCGCCACGAATTACGAAGCAGCAAGATCCTTTTTAAATTATTTGTAGTATATTATAGATTTTTCTTATCTATGCCAATCGTAACAGTAGTTCATAATAATATCAAATTGTGAATTGGAATTCCTTGGGTGATAGGAATTTTCCACGCTAATATTATTTACTAGAAGAGTGTATCGATAAATTTCCTTTGTTAGGTTATTCGTTGGAAAAGGATTATTTATTTTTATTTGAATATTTACCTGTAGTCAATGGAATGGAAATATTGGATCATACCATTAAAAAAAATTCTAATACTACTAATGATTGGTGATGTTGCAGAACTTGGTTATGAATAATACCTTCAGCTTTCAAATTATATTGTCAAGGTACCCCACTACACTGTTAACAATATTCGGGTGTGATTGAAAAATTTTTTAATGACGCGTAAAATTTCAGGTGATTCAGTTACCAGTTCACAATAAAAATAAGTTCTGAAGTTAGACAAATGTCAATACTCTTTGAATTTTCCCTATTTTCATCAACAATTCGGCAATATGAGAAAATGACCGGAAATCAATGCCCTGTTTGATCTCATGTATGAGTAGTAACGCTGAAATTAATCCTGATTGTTACCTTAATATTTCTCCAATCTTATCTGAATAGGGTTAATTCTTTTGGAATTTCGGTTTTCAAAACTTGTTCCAGGTACAATCAGAGAACTTACAATTTCTACGTTTTCCCACGTCCTTTAAATAGAGCAGCACCAGATTGTCGTTTTATGTGTCAAGCGTCGAGTATAGCATTTTTAGCTAGCCAAGGATTTGACTTCAATAAGTTATTCACGAAAGGGATTCCTTATTTGACGACGACGGAGGAGGAGAAGTTGATGAAACGATATGAGGAGAAGCAGAAGATCAGGGACGAGGGACTGGATATGATTCCGATATCAGAGGAAGATAAGCCTCAGATTATCGACATTTGGTAAGTTGTCGCTTGAATTTAATTAAATAGGATATATAATTTTGAGAGTGAAAAGTATTGCTTAAAAATATTTTCCTCAGTAATTGAGTTAAAAACTAGTTAATGATCTTATAATATTATTACAATGAAAATTAGTTGGAAAACTGAGGGTTTACCAATCGATGTTAACATATTATTAGTTCATTGTTATTAATCACAGCTCATTATTAATTTAGCCTATTTAGCCTATTTAGCATTACTTATTTCAATAATTTATTGAATTAATAATCAAATTACCAACTAGCTTCCACTCCGAATTACTCTATATTTCTCTACGAGATTCCATCATTAAATCAATTGATAACCTTGATTGAATCCACCTTAAAAGGCTTTGTTGTTACGTTTGCTACGCATTTTAAACTGGTTTGTTTTCAATTCTTAATTTTGTTCTTTCATCCAGTAAAAAAATCGACGATTTCCTTGAATCTGACGCAGAAGAACTCCTGATTGAACGTTGTAACGGCTACATAAGAAGATTAGCTCATCAAGAAGTTAGACAGAGATGGCCGGAAAAAATTCGTCTGGAGAGCAGAGTAGAAGGAGGGGCACAAAGTTTGATAGTGTTCAAAATGGGCTCAAGGGAAGAAGAGGATAAGAAACACAAGGAACGCCAAGAGAGAGAGCAGCTGGAAATAAAAGAAGCTGTGGGAGTTAGTGCATTACTCAGAAAGATTGCAGACTCGGTACGTGCTTTTCTTTCATTTAAGAACCGCCTGTCGCTATCTACCGAACGTGATCTTTTGTTTAAATACGTAAAAAAGTTCCGGACGTGCGTAGCTGCGCACGTTAATGAAGAATTGACGCTTCAGCGCTGAAAATTAATTATAATATTGAATTGAAGAGGTATCTTATATCATTAAACAAATCAAAATACCAAACAATAAAATTAAGAAAACATTTCGAATGATTGCACGGGCGGAGCAAATTGTGCTTTTGTAATTTCTGTTAGCAGTTGTTCCATTCTGCCCCCTTAAATCATTTACTAACAAAAAACACTATTCCCATTGTAAAGTAACATACTTGCATAATGATAGCTAAAACAGAAAAAACCCAAAGTACAGGGCAAAATGGATTGCATATCTGAGAGCCACCTCGGTTCAGGGGGTTTTTAAGAGGGGATGAAATTCCGTCCATGTTGCTGTAGAATCAATAGGAACCAACATAGTTATTTAAACAAAAAACAATACCAGGATAAAAGGAGAATCAAAGAAGTATTTTGGGTAATTAACGAAGCCAAAATACCAAAAAAGAAATCAACAGGATGTAGGAAATCAAATTTTCTATAAATTAGCAACCAAGGATCGTTGAAAAACTGCCACCTGGAAATCTAACTAAGAATGTTAAAAAAGAAAGAAATGAAAAATAAGCATTATCTTTTAATGGACAGTTTAATGAAAATGAAGTTACATATCATTGACCCAAATCGAATGAAAATAGACTCATTTCCCTGGCAGCAATTGGCAAGTTAATCATCAGTAAGAATTAGCATAGTCCAAGAAAAGTGTTTAATGGTTGGATAGAACAAATAAACTCAGATCTCGCATTGCGACTAAACTCGTTTCTGACAAATTTTTTTTTATGGAATGTTATTTTTCTTCCTATTCTGCTGTTCAACTTTCATTAGGGAGATTACAATAATTATTGCTTTAATCGGAATATTGAATTGGATACTCCATGACTACATCTTTCATAACCGGTTAAGTTTCCTATTTGTAATATTTTTATTGTCCATGATCATATTTATAAATTAAACAAGGCAAGATATAAAAAAAACTGGTTTACCTCCCATATCTTCTGTGGTCCTATTACAAAACTCTCATTCGATTGATGCCAAATCGACCATTGGGCAATAATCGAGAATTCAAGAAAAATCGATTGATTGAAGTCGAAAACATGAAAAATCCATTGCGCTTTTAATATAAGGCTGTCTTTTTAGCCTAAAATATATTATGAAATTTGGACTTAAATTTGTGTTTCGGAAATCACTTGAATGGTTATAAAAAGATCCTAATATTAAAAGGAGAAGGGAAATCAATCTTGAAATATCTTGAAATTTTCGTGTTGTTGTAGTTTCGCCTAGGCTCGGTTACGGAGTAAATTTCAAGCCAAGTTTTTTAGCCACTTTTGAGAAATGCAAACATTATTGCTCCCTGATCTGATCGCTTGTTGGGAAGGCAATCCCCCAGTAGCTCAATTTTGTCATGGCTAAAGCTGGGCAGTTGCATGGATTCTATGAAGTTTAGCGGTTCGAAGGAATTAATTACTCATGCTACCCCGTGTGGGTACACGATTCGGCTGCTAGAGTTCAGTCTCAAGGTTTATACTGCTCTCTCGTTATGTTGGGAGCTTGTGACGCATTGGGATTAAACAATACATCGGTTTTAAGACATAAGATATGTTTAATATTCCCCTTTATTGTCAGCGAGGCATGGCATCAGTGGTTTCACGGGATTGTAAGGACCCTGTGGTCCGCAGTCGCACGGTCAGACAGAAGTCTAATTCTAGATATGATGAGCTGTTTATCTGCGTTGGCCTCAGTGATATCAAGAACATAATAATGGAAACTAACCGTGACACTGCTTAGCTCAGCAAGTTGAGAGCTGAGAGCTTTGCCGCAGTCGTGAGGACCTTGGAGACATCAGAGTACGATCGGGAGCTGAACCGAGCAGCCCTCTGAGCTTCAAGCCCTTTAAGCCAGATAAGTCAAAAGTCCAAGTGGAATGACCGAACCTAATAACGCGTATACCAACCCAATAAGCAAACTATTTTCATGTCCCTTTAATCCACTCAAGTGATAATATCATTTTACTGAGTAATTATGCGAGTGGGTATTTAAGCAAGAAATTCTTCCCAGTTCACCAACCTCCTTCTGAATGAGCGAATCTCCGTGAATCCCCGTGAGCTCGATGCAGGGCTAGTCGAGGAGGAAGTCACACAAAGACTAGTAACGTCGGAGAAACAATTACTAGCCTAATTTGAGTTTACCTCCGGCTAAAAATCATAATGACACACACCCAATATTTTTTTAATTTTAGTAACAGAATTGAATGTGGAAATTTGAAAAAACAAATCTTAAAATCTTATCATCTTAAGAAGGGCTCAAATTCAATTATAAAAGGTACTCAGATATGCTCAATTAAATGATTGAAGTATATGTAGATATGACTCAAACCTTAATAAGTTATTCCCAAAAAACATAACTTGTCTTGGTTTGTAAACGCACCGACAATATTTACAGGCTATTTTAACGGACATTTCTCAATCTTCAACTTTTTACAAAGACATAATTGTATTTCAAGATATTTATTTTTCTTTTTCAGGGAAAATTGATAGTTGGGCATAATATGCTTCTAGATCTATGTCACGTAGTCCACCAATTCTTCGGACCGCTACCAGAAAGTTACTTAGAGTTTAAATCCCTCATCAATGGATTATTTCCAAAATTAATAGACACCAAGGTTTTTTCATCTCTTCCACCGTTTAAAGACCTCATCCCATCATCTATACTCAATCATATATTTGAGAGCGTAACTAAAGAACCATTTTCTATTCCTGAGATTACTCCTATTGAGAATAGAAGTTACGCAACGGTTCAAGGTGCTTATCACGAGGCTGGATTTGATGCTTATGTTACTGGATTGTGTTTCCTGGCTATGACGAATTATTTGGGGTCTCAGCAGAGTACAAAAGTCGATACTGTACTGCCCGATTCACCTTTGCTCCATCCTTTTATCAATAAGTAAGCAAACATTATTTAAATAGAAAGTTGAAATACTCTTCGCACCATAATTTTAGAAATTACATGCAAATATCAAGGATTCCATGGGAAGAAGTCAAAGGACATACCTTAAATTGGAAATATTGTCGTAAAAGTAATAATTATCTGGAGTATAGTTATTCTTTCCCCACTAAAATAAGAATCCTGGCTTATTTTCTGAACCTCATAATTATCCAAATTTTTGCATAAGTGGCTATCGAATTTTACTAAAGTATTTACGATACCGACAAACGCAATTTTAAAGATTTTTACTGGTTTTCAGATTACTTATATTCAGACTAAACGATATTCCTTACATCAATTTAGTTGGGCCAGATCGTAAGTATGAAGAAAAATAATACGAAACTGTTGAGAAATTAATTTTCTCATTTTACATAGTTTGTAATTAATTCAATCGCTCATTTTTACAGCAATTCCCAGTAGGGATCATGTGTTCCACGTGACATTTCCGAGAAATTGGAAACTCAGTAATTTGTCTCAAACTTTCAATCCTTGGGGTAAGTAATAAGTAATCTGTTTCACTAAAAGTGATCATTATCCAGTAGTTTTTTATTTATGAAAAAATGGATGGCATTTCAAAAAATTGAAATGTATGGGTATATTTTGTTTGCCATCAATAAATTGATGGCGAGCTTCCGAATGGTTTTTACAAATTTTTTTTTCCTATTAATTTATATCTATTAAGAATGTATATAGATCCAATTCGAAAAATGAACGAAAACATCTAATTATTGGATTAAAAAATCTTTATTTGTTCATTTCTATAATTTCGCTAAAGCTCGATTTTTACGCGGGTGAAAGTGCGTACAACAATTTGAACTGAAAAATGAAAAAATCTAAATATCTCAAAAAGTTTGTATGGGCAACTATATATATTTAGATTGATAATGACAGGGGACATCGAGACAAAAATTTTCACATAAAAAAAAATGAATTCAGTTAAGTCAATTTTGAGATATTCCACGTAATCATTTTACACTAAAAATTAAATATCTCCGGAACTAATCAGTCGATCATGCTCATTTTCAATACCATCCGTTGCAGTGATAAAAGGACAATCTCGTCCAAATTTGAAGTTGATAGCTCAATTTTTGCGAGGGTGAGAATGCGTACAACAATTTGAACTGAAAAACGAAAAAATCTAAATATCTCGAAAAGTTTGTATGGGCGACTCTATATATTTTGATTGATAATGACAGGGGACATTGAGACAAAAATTTTCATATAAAAAAAAATGAATTCGGTCAAGTCAATTTTGAGATATTCCTCATAATCATTTTACACTAAAAATTGAATATCTCCGGAACTAATCAGTCAATCCTACTCATTTTCAATACAATCCGTTGCAGTGATAAAAGGACCATCTCTTCGAAATGTCAAGTTGATATCTCGATTTTTGCGGGGGTGAGAGTGCGTACAACATTTTTTTTTCAAAAACATAAAAGTGACAATAACTATGATTTTTTCTGAAGTTCATTTTCAAATTTTTTAATGATTCCAATAGAGCCAATCATGGCGAAGAAAATGAAGTAAAAAAAAACTGAATACCTTCATTAGTTTTGGAGATATTTCGAAAAAACGATTTATAAACAAATCACGATTTCTCAAAAACGGCTTGACCGATCTAGCAGAATTTTCATTCCATAGTTAGCCTCAACTCTTACCTACTATTTGACAAAATTTCAAATTTTTTTGAATTTTTTTACCCACCTTTATCATTTCTTAACTAAAAAATCACCCCTGGCCAGGGGGCACCACGCACAGACATTCTCAAAAACTTTTGTATTTTTACATTTCAGACCATTCTACATCGTTTCCAAGCAAAATTAGAATTTTTTTTTCCGGTCGGGATCGGACGATTGCAATGCTTCCATTCGGAAGCAAAAGTCTCTTATATTTAATGAGCGTATATAGGAACTATTCTATGAAACGCTTGAATATTGCTTTGAATTTGGCAGTCTTATTGTGATTCTAGAAGATTAGCTATGCTTATTTAAAATTGACGAAATTTACACAAGACCATTAATTTCTATTTTCCAAGAATTTTTTTTAGCTATCTCTTACCTTTTACCCTTTCTATCTTTACCCTTTTTTACTCTCGGATGGAACAGTACTCGGTCTATTTTCAATTTTTCTAATTTTGTTTGAAAATGATACAGAATGGTGTGAAAGGTAAAATTGAAGTTTCGATACAATGTCTGTATGCAACGGTGTTCAGTGAGTGGTTACCTTTTATTATAAGTAATTAATAACAGGAAAGTTCATCCTGAAATTCCCGCCATTTCATTGGAATATCTTCAGATAACTGTGACCCCCCCCCCCCATTCATCTATTAGTATCTGCAAAAGTTTATTTACACTGCTTCGAAAATATCTTAACAAATACTCAACTTGATTTATTAAAAATTATTATGTCCTGGATTAGTGGACGAGAAACTACGTTACGCTAAAATAAAAACGCCTCAAAAGTAACGTTAAATAAACAAAAAAATTGAGTCGGAGTAATGCACACGGATAATGAGTCCTAGTTCAATTTTTTGTAGTTTTTCCTTGTTAATTTGTATAGTTATTATGTTCTTTGCTGCAAATGAACGTTCAATTTCTAGGATTGAGAATTAAGAGTAAATTTTGCAAATCTCATTTGAGGTCACTACATTCATATATCTGGATAGATGTCGAGAAGCTGCATCATGAAACATTAACTTAATTGATTGAAATAGCTACAGCACAAAACATTAATTTCCATAGAAAAAGTTACAGCATGGACCATAAATCCTTGTTGAACTCGTAAAGTTATTCGACAGTCAGGTTGATTATATAATTCAAAATGGTTTAATGTGGGGATGGGATGATTTTAATAACTTAAGAATAGTTAAAGTTTCCTTATGTTAGTCTTATTCAATACAATTTTCTCAAGGTATGATTTTAGTCGTGTTCTAAGCTCAGGATTTGTTGGTAGAACAGTCCGCTTCAATGGTTTTCAGCCATACTGAGTTTAAATTCAACGACTACATTGCCAATTTATAACCGACGGAATTTCCAAAATGGTTCAGATTCGGAAAGGAAGAAAATCACACGCATAATAGAATACCCAAAAGAACGGTTGGAGTCACGGTAGCTCTCATCGATTTCTAGCACGTTTCAGGGAAAAGAAAAGAGACGAGCGCGAATATTTAAAAATCAGAAATCTTCCGGACGACTGCCTGCGATAAAACACCCAATAGAATCACTGAAAATATTAATGTTACTAGGAAGATGATTTAGCTAACCACCGTAAATCGAAAATATATCTATGTTGGAGCCGTGGCTGTTGTCCGGTTTATTAAAATAACAAAGAACCGTATGATTCTCCTAGTTTTCCGTAACTGAAGTTTAATTTTTGTTCATAAGAGTTCACAGTTTGAATTTGGCCGTTGGTTTCTAGAATAGGGATTGATGATTTGGAAGTTTTGGGAAATTCGAGGTGTGACATGTCATCACGTGATCGAATTATCACTCATTTGTATTCTACACTTTCTGTATTTCTCGGGTTTAATGTATTTCGAGGTATTTGGGACGATTTCGGAATCGCTGAATGGCAGTTGCGAAATCCTTTGTTTGATAGAGGCCGAAATTTGTATTAAATTTATTGGATATAACACCTTCTATTTTAAACTATCAAAGAATGTATCACCCGTTCCTACGTTTTCGAGATATTATATTATTTTTATTTTTGTTAAAAAATCAGTATTCCCTATGCAGTTCTTAGTTGTGAAATTGATATGAGGCATCCCTATTTCAGTCAAAAAAAATTTTTTTTTTTGATTATGATATAAATTAAGTATGTGGGAGAAAGCTCTCTCAGATATCGTAAAACGCGAGGAAAAACAAAACCAAATTGTTTTTCAAAAGTTACGCAACTTACAAAATTGAAGGTGCTTCGGAACATGCAATTGTTTATAGCATTATAAGTCGATAAATATTGGTTGTATTGGAAAAATAATGAAATACTTTTTTATTGCAAAAGAGTGGTATATTCATGTCACAGCTTCATTTTTATGACAAAGTACAATTTAAAATACCTTTTTCAATGAAAAAATATAAAAATTCTAAAAAGAACATGTTTACAGATTTTTATTATTTACCCAGATTTTTGAAAATGTGAAAAAAATATATGTGATAGAGTACTTATTAGAAACTTGATCGTAAAATTTTGAAAGTGTATTTCGACATAGGCCCTGAGATATTAATTATTTAATGAGGCGGCGGAAGATAAAGTGCAGTGGTGAGATTACCGAGCCGAGCAAGTCGTGTCGACAAGTCTGCGACGTTGGGCGAATGTTTTAGGTATCTAGAAAGTTAAAGCACAATTATTTATATTGGAATATATTCTCGGTCTAAATGAAATTTTGAGAAGTATAGAAAAAATGCTCATTCATCAATTTCTAAAATTGCAACTTGTTGATTATTTTGACTCAGTTCTGTGCAATTTGAAAATTTAATAAATTAGCTTTTTTTTGTACTTTTCAAAATTTCATTTAGAAGGAGAATAAATTCAGATAGAAACAATGGCGTATTAACTTTCTAAATACCTACAACATGGACTCAATATCGCAAACTTGTCGACACGACTTGCTCGGCGGGGTAATCTCACCATTGCACTTTACAATTCTCTGACAAGTACTCTAACACATATATTTTTTTCAGATTTTCAAAAACCTGCAAACATGTTCTTTTGCAATTTTTATATTTGTTCATTCAAAAAAGTATTTTAAAATGCACTTTGCTATAAAAGTGAAATGGTGACCTGCGTACATCACTTCTTTGCAATAAAAAAGTAGTCCATTATTTTTTCAATACAACAATTATTTATTGAGTTACAATGGTATAAACAATTGCATGACTCGAAGCACCTCCAATTTTGTATGTTGTATAACTTTTGAAAAAATATAAAAAAAATTGTTCCTTTCGGTTATATACGTTTTTGGACCTCTCCTACACCATATCAAAAATAGCACAAAAGTAGTTTCTGGCCAATTGAAATAGTGTCGAATGCCTCATATAGTATATATATGGTTAAATCAGTTTATAATAATGGTTTAATCCATTTCAATTTTTGTTTTACTTAAGGTATCTACAGGATACCCCAGCCGAATTGCCTACCCTCACTTTACTCTCCCTAACTTATAACTAAATTCCACAGGCTGTCGGCTTGTTTTTCGATGATGAAACATTTTCCATCATCGGTACTCGAATCTGCGCTATTGAGATGCTTTATGGGGCGCGTCATAGGGTCAGTACGCTGATGACGAGCCCAAAGACATTCTCTTCAACTTATTTATATTTTTCATTTGTATAAACAAGTGGTCGATCTTGGTCAGATTTTGTATATTTAAAGCCCAAATCTGATTCCGTAGTAAGGAATACGACGAGATAAAAGACTAAGAAATCAGTTTGACATTTTAAACTAAATAATAAGCTTGAAGAGATAGTTATTTTGAGGCTTCAGTGTCAAACACAGATCATCTCTCCACATGTGCTAAATTAACCGAGTCGGAGGCGAAGATGACAAGCTGGAAGCGGGTGAAATATTTTCCACGGTGTGGCTGTAACAAAAATTTCCAGATGCAAAGCGCGATTTTCCAGCCCGCAACAATCAATATAATTCCCACTAATCTCGCAGTCTTAAGATACAGAAACTACCGTGAAAATTGTCATCACTTTGTCTCGCAAGTTTTTAGGTTGCGAAAAAGTGCATTTCAAAAATGTTCTGAAACGCGGACTGTACGTAAATAATCGCAAAATTTCAGGCACAATAAAGTTTTACCGCAAGACTGTTAATCGATGTATTTATCTCCTTGTTGTGTATTCCTCTTTTCTTTCTTTATTTTCTGTTAACTGAGAAGATACAAATGGGTTTTTTTTTCAAAGAACTTATTATATCAATGATTATTGTTTTTGGTGGGCCTGAACCATACATTTACCCAATTATACATTCGAGACGGAGAGACAGAGCCCGAAAGTGGTATTTCTGTTTTTCTCTTCATTGCATTAATACTCGTAAACTTCGAATCCAAAGAAAATATTCCACGTGTCGGATGGAGCGCCTTCACAATATAAAAATTTCAAAAATGCCATTAATGTGTATTATTACTCGGAAGATTTTAGAATACGAACACACTGGAATTATTTCGCTTTTGCCCACAAGAAAGGGGCCCGTGACGTAGGTGATACAGGAAAACCTGAAAGTCAAAACGTAAAACGAAATGCGCTTTTCAAAGCTCAAAACATTTCTTGGAAATTCAGTAATCATCTGATTTTTTTGGAAAAAGTTAAAGAGGACATGTCTTTCGAAAAATCGTTTTTTTCCGTTTTTTCCGTTTTTTTGTCTTAAACCTAACTATGAAATGAAAAAATAAAACAATCTAATTTTAAAATCGTCACGCCGACTTAGCAAAAATACTGATTAATGTGTATAAAATCTCTGGATATCAACGTACAGAAAACGAGTGTCAATAATGCATAATGTATTGAGCTCTTAAAACAACAAAAATAGAATCTTGAAGTAGGTGAAAAAATGAAGATTTTCATTCTTTCACCCGTTTTGATAAAATAATACGATGCGTGGAACTAGGATTATTCACCAGAGAAGAAAAAACAAATGAAAAAAATATTTATAATTAAATATTTTTTATCATATTTCGAGAAGAGTACAAACTTCAATTTTGTAAAGAAACGCGGTGAATATTGGAAGGATACCTCACATAGAATCAAAATGGACTGTTAAATGTCACTAATTGTGAACTACATATTTTTAACAATTGTGTTATTAACTTGGCGGATCGCTTAAAATTAATATCTGAATCTGTCACCCTTCAACAATTTTCTCTCCTGTTCATCATTATTCAGTTTTAATCATTGGAGTGGCTTCCGCGACAATTTGCAACCCAAATTTGTAAATATTTTAAATTAACGAGATAAAATTCAAACCATAGAAATTAATATTATGCAGATAATATTTAAAAAAACACATCTTTCAAAAGTGTTACACTTTCCGTTTACAACCTATAATAATATATGACAACCACATCACAGTTTCATTATAGGGTTTTTTCTGAAAAAGCCTATAATTTTATTTAATTTTTCCTCAGGTGGTGTCTACGTATCCTGGCTATCAGATACAACAGCTTACGTGGGTTTAAATCGTCGTGAACAAGCTCCCGGACTCAGGAAGAAAGTCAAGAAAAACGGCCACCTTGGTGACTGTCAGATTCAGACGTATACCAGGCATCAGGCATCAGTTGAGTTAATCAAAGATAATAATACGGAGGTCGATCGTAAACGGAAGCAACCACCAACGGAGTAAGTCAATCAATCTGAATTTTATTAATGTAAGTACTTGAATAGAAAAAAGACTTGATCCTTCTCCCTTCCACCTTCTCACTCTCCACGATCACGCATCATTTATCAATTTCACTTACTTTTTGTTATTTTACTTTTTGTAGTCAAGAAAATTTCTTATCGAAAATAGTTCTTATTAATTACGTTTATCTTAAGAATCATGAAATTAGGTATGATAATCTTTTTACAATTTCTGTAGAAACTGTCGTTATTTATTGGTAAAACAATTATCAAATCAATCAGTTACGTCGACTTGAGTCAATCTTGAAGTTTTCATTAATTATGAATTCACTTCGGGAAGGAATTTTGCGTCAGCAAATTGAATTTTTGCTTTTACTTTTCATTTTTTAACATTGTAACTTTTTTTTTGACAGACCGTCAGAATTTTCAATTAAAATACGCTTCATCGCGACAATTCCATTACAACGTAAATGCACTGTTCTGATTATGTATTAATGGGCAGAAATTCATTTTAATCCATTTTGTTGGTCGAGAAATTGTCGTTGAGGTAAATCGATTGGATCGGAATTTTCTAAATGCGGTACGTGACTAAAAATCAATGTCTTCTTCCTTCGTTTTGTCGTGTTTTCCCTTTTAAGAAAATGGCAATTGAAAAGTGTACGGGCAACTAGGTTCTACCTGTCTCAACGTCTCTGTTGAAAATCATGATAATAAGTTCACCACTATTTGTTAGCTTGGGGTTATATCCCCTCTTATTTCCTATACATGTACCAGCATTTGCATAGTAGAAATGGCGAGGAGTTAATGCTCTTACTCTGCCTCGTTACAGGTGGTTTTTTATTTCCACCCGTTTTTATCTGTATCTCTTTGTATATTTGATTTTGAGCAAGGTAAAAATGAGGTTTTCATGGATTTCGATTTAGTGGTCAAATGGCAATGCATTCACTTAGGTTTAACACAAATTGAACTGTCGACACTAGTGTAGTTTCAAGTGACTTCTTTATAGTGTTGCTGAGGCGGTTTGTTAGATCTCTTCTTAAGATATTCAGGGTACTAGCTAACACTTGTACCAACATTTTTTATTCAAGTTTTTTTTTTACTTTATTTCTTTGAGAGAAGGCAGTTTTTTTCGAGGTGTCAGGGTAATAATAGTACAAGTGTCTTCCAAGTGTTTATCCAATTTGTTTTAATGATTTAGAGTTCTATATTAAATTTTGTTTTGCAGAAGGATTTGTCAGAGGACTAATTATTAATATGGTAAATAAATAATATAGAAGCCGATCTCACAGCCACAAAATAATATTTTTATTTAGTGAAAAAGTGAAATATGGACATCAGATTCCGTGGATGAAGCCGTGTGGAGAATTGTGAAATCGTTGCGATTTATTCGCGCCATCTCAAATCAAGAGAAAATTAATAATTACATTCTTTTTTTTTTACTTCTCAAACACAACACAATATTGTTTGAAATATTTCAAAATCTATCGAGCTCTGGATGTACTACAATTCTATTTTTTCTTGTTTTTTTTAGAGGATTTCTCAAACCACGCTGGCAATCGACTTGATTTTTACTCAAAAATTATTAATCGGATATTCCACATGTGTCTCAAGTTTCATGACTCTGGCTGCATTTTTTCTTTCATTTTTACACCTCAACAATTGTTGGTATATGGAATGACCTCTTTTTGAAACGTCATAACAAATTAGTCGTATTCGTTAACAGTCTTAAAGTTGGCACACTGTTTCTCAATAGTTTGAAGATCCCACGAGAAAAACATTGAAAAATTGACTGTATTTTTTTTAAACCCTTCACCATATCCGATTATCCTTAAGCTCCTTTTCAGTTGAAAACATTAATTGAATGTCTCATTTAAAGAAGAGCTGTCATGTTGAAAGATAGGATCGATTTCTCAATAGAAGCTTTAACCTCCAAATGCGGCGTGAAAATTGGACATCAAATACATTAAATATTCAAATTAAATGAAAATCTAGCGAAGTTATCGGTTGAATTTTAAACATTTTCGAAATTTTTGGACCTGGAAATCCACAATTCCTTAAATATCCAAAAAATCGCGTAATCTGTCAAAAAAAATTTCATGACATTTTATCGTTTATAAAAATTTCAAGTTTCGTTTTCAGAGATAAGTGGTTCCTGTATTGGAAATGACTGTACCGAACAATAAATTTCTAATATTTGAAACTTATTGTCTTGGGACCAGTCATTTTTATTCAATTATCTTTACCGTGCCAACTCAGCTGGTCTATGCAGCCAACGCGGCTTTAAAATATTCTTATTTTCAAATATGATGGATTTTTGGTAAGGGCAAATGCACAGATGACCATTCGCCATGCTCTCGATTTTGTTGAGTATTGAGTATGTTTTAAAATTTTATTAGATATGAGTCTGCGCCAAATTTCAACTATTGAACTCAATTATTTCTTGACAACCACACAATTTACGGTCTTCTCTAGTCATTTTTCGGATCGTTTTTAAGCACAGAAATACGTTCCATATGAAAAATGCTTGATATTTTTTGGAACTCTTTGGAAAAATAAAATAAAAATTATTTGTCAACTCTTTCCACCTGAATATGCACGCTTAACACTAGAATCGTGCATTTTTTCTTATTGACAAACTGTCTTCTGTTTTTTTTTCAGAAAGCTGTGATTTTGTTTACCCAAAAAACAATATCCAAAGGTGCAGACGAATTGAGCTTTATTTGTTATTACAAATTGATGCAATTCCATCTCGCAGCCATAAAATAATATTTCTATTTAGTGAATACTCTCACTTTAAGGTACTAGGCACATCTGCACTTATCATTAAGCCTTCCGGATCAGGAAATCGATTTGAAGAAATAGTAATTTATATCATAAGGGGTGAAAAGTGGATAGACAAATAGATAGATATATATTTATTCATTGATGCTACTTTACAGTTTTATATCGCTCTTGGTGCCACCTCTTTCTTACAAACTACATGTATACTTATGCCATGTGTATAATTGGTTACATTTGACTAGTATGACATTTTTTTTTCTTTCATATATTGTCTTTTTCTTTGACATTTTCAAAATTTTGAGTTCTGATTGCAGCCTTCATTCTTTCGTTCTCTGGTCTGATCCTATCGCGTCTAGTTTCCCTGTCGGTGTGTCTCATTTCATTTGAGTTCCTCTAGGCCTCCGAGAATTTCGCTATGTTTGCTCATCATCTGTATAATTTTACGTCCACTTTGCTTCCTAGTGGTTCTATTTATTTTTTCCTCCATGTTGTTCAGGCTTTTTTTTTAAAATATGTTCCGGCTCTTTCTGCCCTGTTCTGGTTAATTGGCCCTATCTTACCCTATGCATGCGGTTGTGTATCGTATTCACTCTCCTACAGAACATAGGAGTGACATCGGAAACCACAGCAAAAACCATGTCAGTACAGGCGGTTGCTCTATTAGCAACCTCCCGTTCATCGGTGCCTGTTGAAAAATTCGATTCAACGGCCAATCGAACTCAATTGTCTAGGCTCGTTCCCTTCTCCATTGCCTCTACCAGTGTCTCTGTATATGCACCACATACCTTGCATCTGTCATTCATGAAGTCTTTTTTCCCTTCTGTTATTTGGTTGCCACATCTCCACCCGGCCCAAACCTCCCTCTGCCATGTTTTAGGTTTTTTCCTATACCAGTAGCTTTCTACCTCTACTCTATCTTTCACTTTTGTGTAGTAGGTGCAATATCTTGATTTATCAGTCATGGCCCAGTCTTTCTGTATTTTTTGATCTTTCGCCGCCTCCTCAAGTTCTGTAAGCTTCTGTTGGATCTTTCCTATAGGTTTGCTTTCTTCGATCATGTCCAGTCTTTTACTTTTTCTAATGCTGCCTTAAGCGTTTTCCCCCACCTTGTTGGTTTATTGTTTCGGATGTGTCTGATTTCTTCTCTGAGGCATTTTCTTGACCATCTGGCCTCTCTCATGAGGCAAAGTTTTATAAGTTATGCATCGGCTCTTTTTTTAGTTTCCATTCCTAAGATTCTCCTATCTGCCTCCAGTCTTCATATATAATCTGGCGTTTATAGCCAGTTCCATGTTCGTTTTCACAAATTTAGCTCTTTTACTCTTTCCATTATTTCGCTTCTTTCCTAGCCAGATAATTCCATTCCGTACAATACTGTTGCCTTTACTGTCGCATCCATGAAGTGTAGTTTCCTTTTTGTGATCTTTGCTCTTTTTGTCTCTCCCCACGTTTTGTTGATCACCTGCTACGTTTTTCCAGCTGTTTTCCCTATGTGATTGGTGTAGATATTTCTCTGTGTAAACCAAAAGCGTAGGTATTTAAATTCTTTAATCACGTCTATTTCTTTTCCTTTATATCATTATTCTTCGGCCTTATTTTTCCCTCCGTTCCTGAATAGCATGATCTCTGTTTTCTCCACACTGACCTCTACCTGATTTCGTTTACTCATCTTTCTAGATTGTTTAGTATCTTTAGTAAGCCCTCTCCGTTTTCCGAGATTATTGCTGCATCGTCTGCGTAGAAGAGAGCGAATGTCTTTGTGAATGAAGCTGGACCTATGCCGGTGCTCAGGACGATCAAAAGAGTGAGACACGAGAAGGGGGAGGCCCTTCTCGTGTCTCACTCTTTTGATCGTCCTGAAAGAGTCGGTCTCTTCTCACACTAGATCTTGATTTTTCGCGACGTTGTCCATTTCTTCTCTAATTTCCAAAAATTTCCCGTTTATTCTCATCTTAACTACTTTTTTCCACAGCCTTTCTCTGTCACTTTCTCGAATATTGCCTTGAGATCAATGAAAGCTATCTATACCTTACCGTCTTTTCATTACAGCTTGTTTTCTACCAGCGTATTCAACGTGAACACTTGGTCTATCGTGCCTGTCGCTGGTCTAAATCCTGCTTGCACTTCTGATAATATTCTATGGCGTTCCAGTCTCTCACTTAGTCTATTAGCCATCACTGTCGCTAATATTCTGTACCTAATGTCTAACAATCAGATTC